CGATCACTCAAGAGAGGCTGGCCTCACCACCAAATGATAACTGTGGGATTTTCCACTCAGAATTCCCATCCTTCACAACCTGGCACTTGGCTTTCCTTTTCAGTTCTTTAATAACCTTAGAAACTGTGCTATTTATCTTGTGAGTGTACAAAGAGAGTGATTTCTATTTAGAAAAAAAAAAAGACTAAAGAGGGAAAATAATACTGTTACTTTATGGCACTCGATAAGCAGTCGTCGTGTGTCACAATTACAGCTGATTTCGTTTTTGGGAGCGGCCAACGCCGGTATCACTTAACACGTCTGAGTTCTCATTAGCACAACTCCTCTCCCTAAATTGCGTGCTGTGGTCCCAGATACCCCACGGAGGGTTGGAGGAGCCGAAGCAACACCGACTCCCCGAGATACTGCCGAGGTCCGGTCCGAGGTCGCTTCCGCCGACTTTCCACCCCACCGCACCCCGGCTAGTAGAGGCCGACAGGACCCATCCCTCCGCATCTGCACCACATGCACCGAAGCCCGAGGAGCACACGGGGCGGCCCCTCATAGCTCCCAAAGGTCTGGCTTTTGTAAGACCCTCACGTCTTCGGGGGGCTCGGCGGTTTGGCACCTGCCTTTGGCCCAGGGCACGATCCTGGAGTCCCAGGATCAAGTCCCACGTCTGGCTCCCGGCATGGGGCCTGCTTCTCCCTCTGCCTGTGTCTCTGCCTCTCTCTCTCTATCATGAATAAATAAAGATAAATCTTTAAAAAAAAAAAATAAGCCCCTCTTGTCTGCTGAAACCCGCGGACAAGAAAGCAAGGTGGGCCGCTGGACTCCGGGCTTGGTGGTGGCTCTGATGACGCTGCCCTCGGCAGTCGTGGGCTCTGCCCCAGCAGGCCTTACCATTTTTACAGCTTTCCCTACGGGGTGGGGATCCGGGAGGTCTCGGAAAGCACGCCTGGGTGGCTCCGTCGGTCCAACGCCCGACTTGCTCTGGGCTCAGGTCATCATTCCGGGCTCGAGACGGAGCCCCACGTCAGGCTCCAAAGTCCGCGGGGTTCTGCTCTCCCTCTGCCCCTCCCACCTGATTTCACGGTATTCTTTGCTTATACTTCTCAAACTTACGAGAGACGGAAAATACGCAAAGTGGGGGGAATAATTATTCCACATGAAGGTTTAATAAGTCCTCATTCGGTGTGATCACAGTGGCCCTGCACGGAAACATGCACAGAACAGGAGGATTCACGTTCAACGCCACTAGGTACCAAGCTTTAATTCCTGCTCATCTCTAAAGAGTCGGCTCCTTCAACAGCTCACTTGACTAAACTAAACGAGAACCAAAGCCGTGCAACCACTCACTACAGACCCCGCCGAACTACAGCACTGTAGGTCCTAAACGTCTAGAAAGCGGCTCCAAGCGGAGGCCTGCGGCCTAACCCCTGCCCACAGGGGGACGCACGGGCCCTGCGCGGCGGCATCGGTGTGGCCGTCAGGCTCTTCCTACCCTCTGAGCACCCTGCACGCCACCTATTTTTTTCCTCCAGGGTCTCCAGGTTCTCCAACGGCTCAGCAAATCGCCTTTCAATGAAATGGGTTTGCTCATGTGTCACCGCCTTGTCGTTTGCACACTGACCCAGCCGCAACCAGAGCCAGGGCTCGCTGCTGCGGCATCCTGACTGCGCAGATGCAACCGCGGTGCGGGAGCATCAGCCTGGGGCACTGCACCACGCAAGTACCTCGCCGTCAGCCGTTGCCCCGTATTTGTGTCACTTATGAAACCGTGGCTGTGGCCACTCAGGTGCTGTGACCACCGGGTGCACAGCTTTGTCTCCAGGTCCACCCTCACCTCCCGATTTCCTGCCAAGCCGTCAGGAGTCACAGGTCCCACTGGCACACGCTGGCCACTGCCATTCCTGGAATTGAAGTTTTCCAGCCAAAAGCAAAAGAAAGGTATGTTTCAGTCAAATGAAGTGAATGCTACTAAGCTTTCTCAGGTACCTCATTGATAGAAAAAAAAAAAAAAAAACAAACTAGTCTCGTGGGCTTTGCAGCCAAGGAAGAAAACAAAAACCCCCGCACTGTGGCTCGGCTCTAGTTGCCTGAAGCTCACCCACACCTAACGGAGAGCGGGACGGACGCTGTAGGGCCCCTCTGTCGTTCCTAAGACAAAGACCCTTTGAGATCAATTCTGGGGGGTTTCTAAATGCTCCGTTTCGAGGAGTAAGCAGCAATATGCATCCAGACGCTTACGCCATTAAATCCTTTTACTCACTGAGTACTTGAAGATACAGAATAAAAATACACAGTGGATTAGTGATTTTTGCAATTATGCCGTTATCTTTATAAAACCCAACTGTGGAATTCAAGACTTAAGGCTTTTGGCATTAATTGACTTGTACATCAGATTCACAAGAATATAAATTCCCACTTCTCTCTGTCCTAGGAGAAAACCTACTGCCAAGAAATGCTCCAGCTCCCTTTAGAAAGCTGCATGTTTAAAAAAAAAAAAAAAACCTGGATCCCTCTGAATAAGGGAAATACATACTTAGGCTGTTATGTGGCCGCCTCCTCAATAAAAATCCACAGAATTAAATCTGACCATACGCACTGCCCTCGAGCTTTACAGAATGGAAGTCGCCGAGCATCCCAAACGTTTTGCAGAGGCCAGAAGCAGGGTGTTTTGTTTGGTTTCGGTTGTAACCTAACGTCACAGCAGTAGCTTCCTTACTATTATGAATTACCTGCTTGAAAGTTTAAACAGGAGCTGGAGAAACTTTTCATTTAAATAGGAGTCAGATCTGCAGCTACGAACGGACACAGGTCTCCGTGACAGAATGCGACTCGTGAGCACGGCATAAGTCAGCTGCCAGTGACAAAAGCTAAATCGTCCAGAGGAAAACAGCCTTAGCTTCACCATACATTTTAATGCTTTAATACACTGAAAATAAGCCTAAATGGCCCACGCATGATCAACGTGGTGCCCGGGACGGCCGTCAGACGCTCTATACAGCACCACGTGGAACAGGTCAAAACTTGCACTTACTTTAAGGACGACTATTGAAAGCTGCTGGGCCTCGGGAGTGGAGCAGCAACAGGTGACCGCGCTGCAAGCGAGGAGGAGGGGGCGGCTCCGTACCCACCCAGGAGCGGGGTGGAGGGCGCACAGGAACCCCACGGGGCACGCACGACGGGGACCCGACTGTGCCAACCGGTCTGTGACTAGGAAATGGGTGCGTGAATCACCCACAGTGCCGGGGCCTGGAAGGACGAACAGCTGGAGAGGATCTCCCCTAAGCACGCCCGAGTGAAGGCTGCAGACCGCTTCCTAGCTTAGGTGTTCCCGAAGCCCCATAGATGAGGAGGGAGGGCGGCAGGAAGACTGCCTTTGCCAGAAGCCGCAGGGGCCTTTCAGAGGCCATCCCGAGGCCCCCCGGGGTTTGAGGAAGGCCTCGTGTGCTCGTGAGAATAAATACCTGCTCTTCTAGGGAAGCCTGGAGCAAGTCACAAGCTCCCCGGGTCTCCACACCGGGGCCAACTGAGGACACGCGTAGATTCCTAGGGCACCTTTAGGACCTTCAGGCTCCGCGTTCTCTTGGATTCCCTAGACACGTTTAATTTGAAACATTTTCCCAAGTGGGGCGGCCTGGGTCATGACCTTCATCCCTGCAGGACCTTAGGGCCCCTGGGACCTTGTTTTAAAACTACAGTGGGAAGACCCCGCACCCGAAGCCCCGGCCTCTGCGGGGCACAAACAAGCAGAAACAAAAGCCAAAAGCCCCTTCCTTGCAGGCTTCCCACCGCCCTTTTGTTTTCCATCCAGGCGCCTGGGCTCGGCCTGCAGGGCCGGATCGGGCAGGATCCGCCTCCCACAGCAACTTCTGGGGCTCCAGGTGGAGTCCCGGCCCCGCGCCCTGCACCAAAGTTAATTTCTTTTTTTTTTTAAATTCACGGAGGAAAATTTCGACCCCTGCGCCCCAGTGAGGACGTGCCTGGCTACGGGGCCGCCAGGTCCCAGCGGTTTCGCCCAAGTCCGCGGTCGGTGGACCCTGGGCTAGGCCGGCTGCGGGGCGCTGCGGGAGGCCACCGGGGGCCGCGTCCTGGCCGGGCGGTGGGAGCCCAAGGGGGGGAGCCAGGGGTGGGGGGGGAGGGGGAGGAGGGGAGGGTGAGGAGGGGAGGGGAGGGGAGGGAGGGGAGGGGGAGGAGGGGAGGGAGGGGAGGGGGATCCAAGGGGGAGAGGGGAGCCCGCGGGGAGATGCGCGGGGGGGAGGGGAGGGGGGCCCACGGGGGAGCCCACCCAGGGGACGCGGCCCCCGCGCGTGCACCGCGCTCCCCGCCGACTCCGGGACCTCGAGCGCCCGCGCTGAGCAGGTGGGCAGGCGCCCCGGCCGGTGCCTCCGAGGGGTGGGGGTGTCCCGGGGGGTGGAGGGTCTCCGGGGGGTGTCTCCCTGGGGTGGGGGGTCTCCAGGGGGTGTCCCGGGGGTCTCCCTGGGGTGGGGGTGTCCCGGGGGGTGTCCCGGGGGTCTCCCTGGGGTGGGGGGTCTCCCGGGGGTCTCCGTGGGGTGGGGGGTCTCCCGGGGGGTGTCCCGGGGGTCTCCCTGGGGTGGGGGGTGTCCCGGGGGGTGTCCGGGGGTCTCCCTGGGGTGGGGGGTGTCCCGGGGGGTGTCCGGGGGTCTCCCTGGGGTGGGGGGGTGTCCCGGGGGGTGTCCCGGGGGTCTCCCTGGGGTGGGGGGTGTCCCGGGGGGTGTCCCGGGGGTCTCCCTGGGGTGGGGGGTGTCCCGGGGGGTGTCCGGGGGTCTCCCTGGGGTGGGGGGGTGTCCCGGGGGGTGTCCCGGGGGTCTCCCTGGGGTGGGGGGTGTCCCGGGGGGTGTCCGGGGGTCTCCCTGGGGTGGGGGGGTCTCCCGGGGGGTGTCCCGGGGTCTCCCTGGGGTGGGGGTGTCCCGGGGGGTGTCCCGGGGGCCTCCCTGGGGTGGGGGTGTCCCCCCGTGCTGGGTCTCCGGGGCTCCGGGGCTCCGGGCACGCACCTTCTGCTGCCTGCGGGCCATGTCCGTGGGCTGCTTGGCGTTGAAGGGGTGCGCGATGCAGCGCACGACCAGGACGTAGAGCTGCAGGCGGACCCCGCGCTCCCGCTCCCGCTCCCGCTCCCGCTCCCGCTCCTCGTCCCGCCGCGCGTCGGGCTGCGGGCGGCCGTCGCCGGGCCTGGGGGGGCTCCCGGTCCCGCCGCCCCCGCCGCCCCCGCCGCCCCCGCCGCCCGCGCCCCCGCCCGCGCCCCCGTCCCGCGCCCGCCGCCCCTCGGCCCCCGCCGCCCGCGGCCCCTCGCGCCGCTCGGCCTCCGGGGCCCCGTCCGAGTCCTCGTCGCTGGAGGACGGGTCCAGCATGGTGCCCGCCGCCGCCGCCGCCGCCGCCCGCTCCCGCCCGCTCCCGCCGAGGAGCCGCCGCTTCCCGGACACGTCGAGGCGGAGCCGGCGGGGGGCGGAGCCGGCGGCGGGGCGGGGGCGGGGGCGCGGGCGCGGGCGGACTCGGACCCGCCCCGGACCTCGGACCCGCCCCGGACCTCGGCCCCGCGGCCCCGCCCCCGCCCCCGCCCCGGGGCCCCGCGCGCTCGGACGGCCCCGCCCCGCCCCGCCCGCCCCGCCCCGCCCCGCCCGCCCCGCCCCGCCCCTCCCGCCCCGCCCCGCCCTGCGGCGCCGACAACAAGCAGCACGTGGGGCCCGCGGGGGGCGGACGCCCGGAGCCCAGTGCGCGTGCGCGTGCCCGCCCGGCCCCCGCCCCGGCCCCGGCCCCGGCCCCGAGCGGTTTGCAAGGGGGGCGGGGGGCCTGGGGGTGCGGGGGCCTGGGGGTGCGGGGGCCTGGGGGTGCGAGGGGCGGGGGCGGGGGCGGGGCGCGCCGGGGAGCACGGGCGTCGGGCCGGGGTGCAGGTCCGTGGGACCGCGGGTGTGGGGGGGGGCGGGGGGGCGGGGCCACTGGGGGCGGGGCCCCACCGCCCTGAGCCCCGCCCCTCCCCCTCCCTCCTCTCCCCCTCCCCCTCCCTCCTCTCCCCCCGCCCCCCACTCCCTCCCCCTCCCCCCACCGCAGGAGGACGCGGCGCCGCGGAGGGCGCCCAGGGCGTGGTTCAGGCCCCCGCGGCTTGACCCCCGGCCGGGGGGAGGGGGGTGACCCGCGGCGACCCGGGGCCCGGGGGGGCGCAGACCGCGCTCCGCGGCTGCCGGACGCCCTCGCCGACCGCGCGGTCACTAAGTCGGTCCCGGGAAGGTCGAGAGCCCGGAGCGGGCGGCCCCGAGCGCAGGCGCCCCCCCCCCCCCCCCGCGGACCCCGGGCGAGACCCGACCCGCGCGCGGAGCCAGGGCGTGCGGTGTAGACGCGCCTGCCGCCGCCTCCGACGCGGGTCCGCCCGCCGGCACCTGCCGCGGTCCGTGCGCTGCGCCCCCAGCGGGGACCCCCCCCCCACGGGGAGGGGCCGCCACGCTCCTGCCGCAGCGCCTCGGGGCCGCGGGACCAGGTGCCGGGACGGACCCTCCCTCCGCCTGCGGGGCTCCAGCTGCAGGGCCCGGACTCTGGGCAGCAGGGAGTGGGGGGGGGCCTGGGAGTCTGGGGGGGACCAGGGAGTCTCGGGGGGGGCCAGGGAGTCTCGGGGGGGGCCTGGGAGTCTGGGGAGGGACCCAGGGAGTCGGGGGGGGGGACCAGGGAGTCGGGGGGGGGGCCTGGGAGTCTGGGGGGGCCTGGGAGTCTGGGGGGGTACCCAGGGAGTCTCGGGGGAGACCAGGGAGTCGGGGGGGGGGGCCTGGGAGTCTGGGGGGGCCTGGGAGTCTCGGTGGGACCAGGGAGTCGGGGGGGGCTGGGAGTCTGGGGAGGGACCCAGGGAGTCAGGGGGGGGGGGACCAGGGAGTCGGGGGGGGCCTGGGAGTCTGGGGGGGCCTGGGAGTCTGGGGGGACCAGGGAGTCGGGGGGGGGGGCCTGGGAGTCTCGGGGGGGGCCTGGGAGTCTGGGGGGGGACCCAGGGAGTCTGGGGGGGTACCCAGGGAGTCTCGGGGGGGACCAGGGAGTCGGGGGGGGCCTGGGAGTCTGGGGGGGGACCCAGGGAGTCTCGGGGGGGTACCCAGGGAGCCTCGGGGGGACCAGGGAGTCTGGGGGAGACCAAGGGAGTCTGGGGGGACCAGGGAGTCTGGGGGAGACCCAGGGAGTCTGGGGGGGACCCAGGGAGTCTCGGGGGGACCAGGGAGTCGGGGGGGGCTGGGAGTCTCGGGGGGGTACCCAGGGTGTCTCAGGGGGACCAGGGAGTCTCCAGGGCCCAGGGAGTCTCGGGGCCGTTGTGCACTTGGCAAGGTAAAACTAGATGACGAGCCCCCTGAGCCTCGGCCTCCCATCTACTGCTTGCAAACCACCCGAGGTAGGTTTGCCAGGTTTTGTCAGGCTGCTCATCTAAGGTCACCAAGTAACCTCGGGTCGACAGGTGAGGACGATGGTGAGGACGACTGTCCCCTTCTGCAGCTTCGTAGCCAGGAGTGCACTGACCCTTTTACATACATTCTGTCATCTGGTTTTAGTTCCTTTGTACAGATAAGGAACCTGGGACTTAGAGAACCCTCTTTCCTACCAGGGGCTGTTAGAACAAACGTGAGTCCTTTCAAGTTCCAAAGAGCGACTTTGTGTTGTCCTGATTATAGGTCGGTACATCCGTGTATGATCCCTTCAGCTGATAACTAGGGACACCTGGGGGGCTCAGTGGTGGAGCGTCTGCCTCCGGCCCAGGGCGTGACCCCGGGGTCCTGGGGTCGAGTCCCACGTTGAGCCTGCTTCTCCCTCTGCCTGGGTCTTTGCCTCTCTCTCTGTGTCTCTCATGAATAAATAAATAAAAATCTTAAAAAAAAATAAACATGACATTGCTTAAAAAACATGTTAAAAATCTGGGTATATTTAGAAAGACAAGATACAGTCTGAAACTTGAAAAGTGTGTAAAGAATGACAAATGAAAAATTAACATGCTTTAAAGAGCAGAAGATAAACATTGATGCTGCAATCCGATGATTGTCCTAACAACCCGAAGGTAATGGTGACATGGAGAAGAACTACCGCATGCAGGACGGAGGAAGAGAGAGATACCGGATACACGTCCAGGAGCACGACTCCGAGCGGCGGGGGCAGGAGGAAGCGTGTTGGCGAAGGCAGGGAGTTGCCAGTGCACCTGGCCCAGGTGAGCGCGGACGTGTGAAGAGGGAGGGTGAGAGCGGGCGAGAGGCCGAGACAGTCGGCGCTGAGCAGGACGGCGGGCAGGCCCCCTGGTCGTGCCCGGCCTCGGAAGTCGGACGGTAGAAGGTGATCTGTGACTCTGGAGGGTCACTCTGGAGCAGGGGACGGACAGTGACGGCAGAAACCAAACACAATGAAATCACTAAGAGAATCTGGGAGGGAAGCAGTGCCAGCCGGAATTCACACCGGAGACAAGGGGAGGAGGGAGGCTTCAGAGGCCGCCGAGGACTTAACAGAAGAGGGCTGCGGAGCTAATGAAGGGGGCTAAGGAAAGAATGGGACTCTCGGGATGGGGTGATTTGACTGATAATAGATGAAATACAGACTTCTAGAAGTCCTAAAGGTTTTGGAGAAACACAAAGTTTTGAGGAGCCGGTCACAGAGCTCCCGCGCTCGGCTGGAGAGGCCAAGCCCTTGCTGACACCTGTTACGGGCTCAGGGGTCATCCGCACGTTGGTGCCGGTGCCAGAGGAAGCTGCAGCTCTGGATGGTAAGGGCCAGAGTCACGTGCTCAGAGTGAGACGCAGGCCAGTGGTGGGCCCTGGGGAACTCTCCCTGCCTCTCCTCCAGTTAAGGGATGGTCCAAAGAAAAGACTACCTGAAAAGACAGCCTGATCATTAAAAATTAATTGTTCTTGATTCACATGTTTGATGTTGTGCTTACAGGAGTACTCTGGCCAAATCTCTACCTTGGATATTACCTTTTCAGGTCATCATAACATCAACTGATGCTCCTGGATAATTGAATGAGCGATGCCCAACGTAAGACTGTGATTGGTTTGTGTGATTTCATAAATGCACAAAAGACACATGAATTTACTCAATGATCCATTTTTACTTTTGTCAAGGTGACTATAAAAACAAATTGGACTTATATTGCTTTTTAATGAAACACCTCTAATGCTAGTGGAAGATGGATGCACAGTTATCAAATGCGCTTTGGCGATGATATTTAAGGAAACAGGTGTGTGACCTGAATAGCTATAGGTGGTCTGTTTTCTGGTTGAGAATTGATTTGTGCATTTGACCTGAAAGGAAGATATTAACTCTTTCAAGTCACAGATGAAATTGTTCTCTCATTGAGTAGACATACTTTGGGGGGCACCCTCTCTGGGCTAGGCACTATTCTGAGTAGATAAGAGCAATAAAAGTCCCCGAGGTGATGCATATGAAACAGACATGAGCAAAATAAGAAATTATGGTAATAGGTGCTCTTGTGGTAATAGAGGAAAAAAAATCACAAAATGCCCCTTAAGTGTTTTGGAATTGGGCAGTCTATTATTGCTATAGTCTAGTTATCACTAGAATTACATTACAACAGAGAGAGGAATCTTTTTCAGGTCAAATAGAAAGACCAGTTTTGCAAATATGTCCGGGAAAACTGTCAGCTCACAAACCCAGCTAAGAAAAAGATGATGCATTTACAGGAGCCGGAGAAGAACAACAAATTTTAAGGTATTTATATCCGATGAGGCATTTAATCCTCCTGGCGACCTCATTTAAATCCCTTTCTTCTCTTTGCTCACCTTTCCCTTTCTCTCCTCCCCAGTCAGAATTGGCGTCCTAGCAGGGAATTGTTTTAGGACTCCACTTTTTACAGAAAATGGGTAAAAATATATGCAAATGATTAGCACAAATGGACCAGTGAACGAGTAGCCCGTGTTGATACACAGACGCACGCACATACGCATGCGATAGAGTCAAAGGATTGCTTGTGAAGATTAATAAGATAATGCATGCAAGGTCCTAAAAAAAAAAAAAAAAAGAAAAGAAAAAGAAAAAACAACCTCTGGTACAGAGTAAATACTCAGCAAATGCCAAGTATTTTACTGTTGTTATGACTGCCTCATCGTTTAGCTCACTGCTATCCAGACGGCTATAGAAACAAACTGTAGATAATACAGTAAATGATTCTACGCATTTTT